GACGGCGCGTTGCGGCCTACACCCTGATTTGGTACCGCTACTGAACCTCTAGCAATTCCTAAACCCACCTACACACCCGCTCCCCCCCCCCTCCATCAGCTCTGACTGGCTTTTCGTAGCGCGTGCGGCGGCTATTTCGCAATCGGCGCCCGGCTCAAGCCCATGAAGCGCCGGGGAGAGTGAGTGAGTGGTGGTAAGCGGATGGCTGGGCCGCGGAAGCGCGTGTGGGATGCTGATCTGGCGTCGAGGTGGTGTATTGGGAGGGATGAGTAAGCCAGCGCCTTCACTCCATCTCGGTTGCGCCCGGATGGAAGCGTGTTGGGGAGGGGAGGAGGCTGTGGTCTGATGGCGAGAGAGAGGGGGGAGTGTGGGAGGGGGGGGGTCCTGCTTGGTGTATGATTCAACGGTATTGTAATCGCGGCCGCGAGAGAGGAGAGGGAGGTGGGAGAGCGGCGGCGATGTTGCTATCCCCCGCGCCCACCGGTCAAAGGAGGGTAGTAGAGCAGAGCAGAATAGTAGAAGGGACGCTGGAGTTGGGTGCTCGCGCATTCGCTCGCAGAAGCTGAAACGAGCCAGGGAGCACGAGGACGCGTGATGCCCTTCTCGAAGCTAATTCGAGTGTTTGCTAGGTAGGGGAAAGAGAAAGGCTGTAGAATGAGAGCTGTCACTTTCCTTCACTCCACCCGACTATCGCGAGTGCGACTGAGACTCGCACGCGCAGCACCGTGAATGCGACATGTCCAGCATCAAACTGCAACACGCTCTCGTAACGATTATGTTGCCCCCCCTTCGTGAGGGTGTTTGCTATATTACAATGACGTCAACGCCCCATTCATTCCTAATGTTTGAACACGCGGAGGCGCCTCCAAAGCGCCCGTTTCTGGTCCATCCAGTTTTGTTTCAGCTGCCTGCCTCTGCGTCGAGTGCGAGTTCGCCTCACACACTACTCCCACCTTCTGGGCCTCACTGACGCGTCGAAATACTGCTCAGCCCCATCCCACTCCAACGCCGCACTAAGTAGGTTTAATCGTTCATCCAAGCCGCGACCCTATTCCCGCCAAAGCGCGCCGCGAAGCGCAGGCCCGTCGAGCCCATGGGGAAGTAAGAGACTAGATACCAGAGCAAGGCGACCAGCTGAGCAATGGCAGCGACGACGGTGAGGATGGTTGAGTGCAGCTGCAGATGTCACGCGGACGGCGTTAGTTCGGGCACGAGACCGGAGTGGGATGGGTGTAATCGATAAGCGCGGAACGTGGGGGTGTGGGAGGCTTGGATTTGCGAAGAGGGGGAGAAGGGGGGCCTGAGGGTGTTTGCTCTGTGCGAGCGAGGCTGGAGGGAGCGGTGCAAGGATTCGGTGCAGCTCAGGAGTACGAGAGGGTGTAAGGTAGGGTGGAGAGACAGGGGTGGAGCTTTATTGAAAGTGCAGGGATCTGCGTCGGAAACGACGGTAGGAGACTGACTTACGCCGAGCGAGAAATAGAGAGTGAGCGCAATGCTGCCGAAGTATGCCGCTGTGAACGGCAGTCTAGGGCCTGAAATGAGATGTTGCACTGCGATGGTGCATGTTTAGCAAAACAGGGATGTTCGAGCGGAATGGACGTGCTCACTGTATTGTAAGGGTCCCATCATGACGGCCCATGAGGCCAGGAATAGGAGCGAGCCCATTGTCCACCTGCATGGCCGGCGATTAGCATTATCCTCCTAGCGTAGCTGCGCGCGACAGGTGACGACGGAAGCAGGGCAAAAAGGCGAAGTTGAGATTAGGTAGGCCCTTCTGCAGTGCCCCGAAGCTAGCACCCGCATGATCGAGTTTGAGGTGGTGTGGTTCGTCTCTGTCTGACCCGGAACGTGGCCAGAGAGAGTCATGATGCAAGTAGGACGCCACGGGACACAATGGCGCCCACCGCAGGGCTCACAGGTAGGTGCAAAGGGGAGAAACAGGGGACAATGGAAGGGCATCGAAACATACAGGATGGCAAACTTCCGCGGTTTTACGATGAAAAGGGGGGTGAACATGAGGGCGAAGCAGGTAGCAAACATTGCTGCCGCTGCAAGGTTGAGGCCACCAAAGACTAGCAGGCGATCCCACCTGCTCACTGCGGCGCAGTGTACTCGTTAGCAAGCATTTCTCCATGCGTCTCGAGGATGTGCAGACGGGTGGACGGGTATATGCAAGCCTCATGCAGGCAGAGGGAGCAACGCAGGAACTGCCCTCTTGTCACAGTCGCTCAGCGATCGGCGCAGCGCACTTCCAGGTCATGCTGCGGACGGCAATTGAGGGCAGACCAGGCATTTGGGCGGAGAGTCAAAGTCACTTACGCGCAAACCAGCCTTCGTCCTCCTCCCTCCTGGTCGGCGCGGGCAGCGGCGCGCCAGGCCCTTCTCCCGCGGTCGGTAGCCTAACATAGCCACCGGAACTGAAGGGATTGAGGCTCTGCAGCCTGTTGAGAATGGGCGTCGACTGGGACGACGTGTTGACAGGAATGTCTGGGTCCCTCCTGCTCCAGCCCAACGAGTTCATCGAGTCGCGGAAGTTGGCCGATGCCATGCCGCAGTATGTTCCCGGGGATGGTTTGTAGATAAGACACGGCTACCAGGCGGCGAGGAGGCGACGGTCTGGCACAAGGAAGGGAGCCTGCTCCAAGCCGGCTGGCGCAGAGGGCTGTCGGGGCAGATCAGAGCGACTTTTGCGGAAGCCGCTGGAGGCGCACAGATAACGCTGGGGACGGAAGACGGGCCGTCTGCAGCTGTAGTTCGCTCTCTCCCAGATGCGCGGCGGTGGTGCAGGACGGAGGGTGGAGAGCGGCAGTCGAGCGGTGGGTTTGCGACGGCACGGAGGATTTCGTGCAGATGATCTCCACCTGGAAGCAGAGGCAGGTGTCCAATGGCAGCGGCAAGACAGGTCTTAGACAGCGGGGTCGTGCGGTCGGCTTGTGATTAGGTCGAGGTGCGACTTGGAGAGGCTGCCAAGAGGCTGAGGGTCGCCACGGGGTGTGGCAGCGGAGAGGCGGCGCAGGGAGGGGCGCGTGTGGCGGGTGTGCGGCGTCGACTGGCCCGGGGGACTTCGAGAGGGTGTGGAGGGTGGCAGCGCTGTGGGTGTGGGTGTGGTGGTGAAGCTCACGATGGCGTCGCTGTCGGGAGTGAATGGAGGCCGGGGTCAGCGCCTGTCGCCTGGGAGGCTAGCGGGCCGTCTCAGGCGCATTACGACGTCCCCCAGCACCGCCGAGTCCTAAAGCTCTCTGCTGGCGCCATCCAGGGCGACAACGCCCGGCCAGGCAAAGACGACGCCGGCTTGATGCTGGAGGCTGTCGCGGCTGCCCTCGCCCAGGGTGAGTCACTCTGCTGGGGGAGCGCGCGCCCCGACGCGTCTACGACTTCTGAGACCTGCATCCTCTTCGGGCACCCATCCACGCCGCAAGTGACCAAAGAGGCCGCCCTGCACAGGAGGGGAGGCCTCGCAGCGTGGATGAGCCGCAGCCGTCTGCTATATCAAGCGCCCATGCCCAATCCCCAGCGGTGCTCGCGCCCTGCATGTCCCGTCCGTGTCCAAGGCCTCTTGTGCTGCCAGGTCGCATCCGCATCGCAGATTCCAGCATCAGCATCCAGACCCAGCCCCAGACGCATAATCAGACCCGTCCCATACGTCACCGCCGCGCTCTCCGACGCTGCGTAGTTCCAGCCTGCCCGCGCTCGTCGGCAGCCACGGCACTGCGGCCGCCATCGCCCGTCGCACCCCGGCCTTGTGCCCTCAGCTCGCATCGTGAAGAAAAGACTGCGCTCGGGCCGTTCATTCGTCGCTAGCCCTTCGCACCAGCATCCCACATCGCCCTCCATCGCCTCGCTGCGTCCTTCGGCCTGCTCTGCTCACCGCGACCCTCTCCGCAGCCTCATCTCCCCATCTCACCTCTGTCGACTGCCAGCGCTGCCAGCAATTGCATCCCGGCCTCTGCGCGCATCCTTCTCACCCGCATCACCCGCATAAGGCCAGATCGAGCACCGAGCAGCACCCCGGACCTCCCCCGCCATCGTCACAAATTTCCACCCCAGGGAGTGACACAGCCCAGGGCCCCTCCATTGAACCACATCGCCGGCCAGCGCCAGGCCGCTGCTCAGCACCCTGCTTGCACTCCAGCGTCGACCGCCTCAAAGACGTCGGCAAACCTGTCCTACCCACCATTCCCGACACCACCGACGACTCGTCTCGTTTGCTTCCTCCGACAGCCAGCAGCAGCACCTAGCCGCCGGCCCCCCTCAGCGGCCAATCCTCCGTCGGCGTGCCCTTCGCGCCTGCGCCGTGTCTTGATTGCTGTCCTCGAGGTGAGTCCGCTGCTGCATTTCACCGCTTCACCTGCCCCATTTGCGCGAGCCCTGGGGCAAGACGGTTGCGCACGCCTCAATCCACCGCTCGACGGCCAAAATAGCCTCAAAGAACACTATACCACGCCCGTGTAACGCCCCTACCGACCGCTCGCCGGCCCGCTTGCTGTAGCACCCAACCACCACGCAAAAGGCGCGGCGCCGTCTGCCCTGCTCCCCGTTGTCCGTGGTATTGTGCGCCACTTCACATGCAACCAGCCTTTGCGCCGTTGGACGTTGAATCTCTGTGTGCAGACCCGTAGCTAACAGATTTGCCCGTCCAGACCGTCTCAGATCCGCGGCCACGAGCTACGCACCTGACGGGACACACAGCGTTGCCCTGTCTGCCTGCCACTGCGCGACCTCCTCCGGTTCAACGTCATCCGGCCCCGAGAATAGCTCCTCCCGCCTCGACGGTAGCACCGCGCCTCTGCCAGAGTCGGCCTCTCCCGCGCCTCCAGTACAGCCGGCCAGATTGTGTCTTGGGATTCTATTATCCATTTGCCTCGTGAAGCGTGCAGTGGAAACAAATTTGTCGGGCAGATTGCACGAGCACCACAGCCCGCTGAGACAATTGTGTCTGGTGAGCTTGACTTCTTCCCTGGGAGCGCTGTGCAGAGCGCAAAAGGGCACAGAGAATGCGGGCCTAACGTCTCTTATGCAGATTTAGAGCAAACTCGACCACCACCCGAAGACAAAGCCTTTGCCTGTCACCAAGCGAACCACGGCCCGCCTGGCCGCACACCCACACAAACTACTTCTGCGAACCCTTATATGGTCACGAACCGGTCTCGTGCTGCAATCACCCTCTCTCTTGCTACCGTGCATTCCGTAGTCACTCGGTTGGGTCAAAGAACAGATCGTTTCAGATCGTTCACAGCGGCCCAGCAGCAGGGTCTAACGCCCACATTCCAAGGGCTGTTGCAACCCTCAACTAGTTATGCCAGTGGCCTGTAAGTCTTTATTCCGTGCATCCCTTCCCTGTACCGAAGAGTGAATTGTCATGCGACGGCCGTCCGAGGTCACTTCTATTTCCGTCTACTTGCAGCCCATCCCCTACATATCAAGACCAAAGACCGCTGTCTCGATCAACCTCCCTCATCATTTCCTCAACACAAGCATCAACGTCTTCAACATGTTGCGTGAAGGAGTCCTGCTGACCGTCTCTCAAGCTGACGCAATCAACACATATCATTCTTACAATTGGCCCACCAAGACCACGAAGCGGGATCTTCGTCTAGGCAACCCTTCCGACGAACCGTATTCGTTCTCTAACAGGATCAACATGACGGGAAACGGATCACCCCAGCCATTCATCAAGGAGGAGTTTGATGACATGAGGTTCATGGGCCACAACGGATTGGACATGCAGCCGCAGTTCCCTGGTCAGCAGTTCGGGAACTCGCATGATAATATCGCCGCTGCCGTTAATCCATCCGACCTGACCATGAGCGGAAGCTTTTCCATCGGCCAACAATATGGGACCTCAAATATGAGTTCCAGCTACCTGCAGGGGAACGCAGGTATTCCTGACGACGAACTTGCCGATCTCGTTGGCCCATCAGGCTTCAACGATTACGGAAACCAGGACAATGTAGGCCAAAACCAAGGCAGCTACTACCCTGCTACGTCGAACGGCGGTGTGTCGATGAGCCATCCGAATATGCAGATCTACTCTCACACCCCGGATGACCAACCAATTCAGTCTCCCTTCATGCAAAACAACTTCGACTTCTCACAGTACCAGTCGGCACCTCAACGAGTGGCCTTTCAGCAAGGCATGCCAACACCAAACATGCAGAATGGGTCGCTCGATATCAACGCCCGAGCTCGAGCGAAGATGCCTGGAGGCATGAGCCGTAACGGCTCCGATACCCGAAGCCCCATGTCTCCCAAGACACCAGTCTTGGGAGGACTACATCTCGGCACTCCAGATTCTGGCAGCTTTCCGTCTCAACCCATCATGGCAAACGCCATGAGCCACCGACATCAGAAGTCAATCTCTGGTCAGTGGGACAACACCCCAAGCAGCGCTCACTCTTGGATCGACTCTCCAAACCAGTCACCCCACACCGGATCTCTCCATCACCAGCAGATTTCCGAGGTACTCGGTACAGGAAAGCATGCTTCATTGCCTACTAAGGTTGACATTGGTCAGTCACAGGATGCGAAGAAGCGCAGACGTAGGGAGTCACACAACCTGGTCGAACGTCGTCGCCGAGACAACATCAACGAGAGAATCCACGATCTGTCGAGACTCGTACCAGCACATCGCCTCGATGACGAGAAAGTTCGCAAGCACATCAGCAATAACGGGCCTTTGTCGCCCTCTCTCACGGCAACGGGTATGTCACCACCGCATGCCACTTCACTCTTAGCCGGTGGAAGCGGCAGACGAGCCGCCGGAAATATCACGCAAGGACTGCCGATTGAAGAGAAAGACAAGGGCCCAAACAAGGGAGACATCCTCAACGGCGCTGTCAGCTGGACTCGTGACTTGATGTGGTTCCTTTACAAGAAGATCCAGGAGACTGATGAGATGAGTGCTCAGCTAAAGCAGCTGACTGGTCAAGAATGGCCTACCGATGAGACAGAAGAAGAACGCCGTATGCGTACCGAGCTCGTCGATGCTGTCGAGAAGAATGGTACTAGCACATTCAAATACTCTCGGGGTCCTGGCTCAGGTCTTCGTGTGCCGAAGCATACCAACATTGCCGGCGAGCCTATCCATCAAATCTCTCCACAAAGCTTGAGCCCCGGCATGCAGAGTGGCGGCAGTGGGCACAACTCAGGGGGTAATGGTGACCAGTTCTGGATGAATCACCAAGGCGGCAGCAGCGGCGGATCATTCAGTCTGAAGGAGGAGGACGAATACAACGGCATGGAGATGGGTTGATCTCTGCACTCATCTCACATACTCCGATCTTATCCGCTGCTATACGCATCAACGCCACTCATTCTTGCTTATCCGATTTTGCGCCATGATACCCCGACGATACCCGCACACATCTGCATCAGGATCCATTTCTAGAGTAGGGAAGGCACAAGAGAGACTGAGAGTCAGGTTGTCCGCCGTATTGTTTTTGAATATCAACGACACCCCCTCTCGACTTCTCTTTTAGGACATGGACGAAAGCAACATCTTCCATCATGGAATTTGTTCTGTCTTCTTACCTGCATGCTTGCATGGCTTTCCCTCTCCTACGCTTTCCTTTGATCATCTTTGCCGCATAACCTGGCTGGATACCAGGCTTTTGGAGGAGAGAGACTCTTCGCATACTTGCATCCGTTGCATCATACCCGTCCATCCATTCCCTTTCCTTTTCTTTCCTTTTTATCACTAGGAGTTCGCCTCAGCACCCTATTGGCGCACCTCGGCGTTTGTCACTGGGCATATCCGGGACCTTGATCGACCCCTTGCTTTATCGAGGAGTCATCGTAGTCCACGGCCGGCGTTCACTCCTCGTTGTAGGATGCTTTTGTCGGTTTCATCTTCCCTTTCTATTCTTTTCAACCCTTGTCTAATTTGGGGTTTTCATTCCCTTTCATCTCGGGCTAGCAGAACTGGTGGGCTAGCGTACTCATGGGGAGTTTTCTTTTCCTTTCCCTTCTTTTCCTTGCGCTGATTTCGGTCCACCCGGTTTTGTTTCATGGGGGGTTTCTTTTTTCTACATATGAATGGGAATTTTATATGCACGGGATCTTCATTTTGCGGGGGTTTCTTCAGGGGTTTCTGGGCGGGTTTACTGCGCGTTCTACTGAGTTGCTATCTATTCTATCTACCACTGAAGCCGTTACTCTACTCCACTCATGTCGTGTTGCTTGCTTGTGATTTGCTGCGTTTGATGGACTGTCCCCAAGAAGGAGAGTACGTGTTTTCCGATGTTCATTGATGAGGCGGGCGCTTCACATCTACTCATCGCATTGCATGATACATGCTAGCGTAACTCACTCAACGCTTGAAATGAGAAACAGAATTTCAACAACTTGATGCCTCAACCCCACACTTCGTTCTCCACTACGGCTACCATTCACACACCATGCTATTGTGAGCCAATCTCTACTACACGGCCACCCATCCCATCCCATCCCATCCCGGCAATCCGCGGCCCATCCTCCCCACCGCGGCCCGACCGGCCTCCGGCCCTCCGACTCTCTGTCTGGCACACACGCACACACACTGTCGTTACTAGGCGCAGGCGCACTACATGCGCCTCGTATGGCTGTCATGAGGCAATGCCAGATCCTGGACACGGCAGATATGCACGATGGAGCGTGG